CAACCACGACCATCCACGCCCAGTGTTCCCTGCCGGACCTCAACCACAGCACACAGCCACAACCACAATTACAAACACATAACCACAAGCACAACCACAAACACACAACCACGAACACACAATCACAAACACAATTACAAGCACACAACCACAACCACAACCACAAACACACAACCACCTACACACAATCACAAACACAATTACAAACACACAGCCCCAAGCACAACCACAACCACACAACCACAAACACATAACCACAAACACACACAAGCACAACAACAAACGCACAACTACAAACACAACAAGAAACACACAATCACAAACACGCAACTACAAACACAACCAGAAACACACAACCACAAACACAACAACAAACACGCAACCGCAAACACACAACCACAAACACAACCACAAGCACACAACCACAAACACACAACCACAAACACACAACCACAAACACACAACCGCAAACACAACCGCAAACACACAACCACAAACACACAACCACAAACACAACCACAAACACACAACCACAAACACACAACCACAAACACACAACCGCAAACAAACACAACCACAAACACACAACAACCACACACACACACAACCACAAACACAACCGCTAAAAACACACAATCACAAACACACAGCCACAAACACACAATCACAAACACAACCACAACCACAACACAGCACGCAACCACAACCACAACACACAATCACAGCACACAACCCGAGGACCCGCAAGCAAAATCGAGAACTACAATACTCACGACCATGGCAACATGCTCCTCACTATGGCATCGGGACAAATGATTGAAATGTCATGGTGGGGATCACTCGAAGTAGAGTAATGTTTTTTGCATTCTTTTTTTCTTTCGAGAATGGTTCCTTAATTTAAACAGGAACTATTCCTTTGCTTTCACAAATAATGTTCAAACCAGTGTCAGGAGAAGGATAGGAGCCGGAGTCGAGGAAGAGGAGGTCACAGGCAAGGGGTGTTCTTTTGTCTTGCAAATTCATGAGGGTTTCTATTGAAAGCATCTGCAGGGAGTCCAATATCAGCATTGGGGCAGTTGGTGTATTACAGGCTGATATCCAGAATCCACTTTTGTAACATACAAAAAGTTGTATTTTGCAAGTTTGGGCCACCCCTCAACTGCAGTTGTGTTTGATGTTCGCCTCATGTTCGGTTATGTTGGATGCTCTAGTAACTGTGCGGAGGGGGCAAGGAGCCGGTCGACACGCCCAGGGATAGAGGTGATAGACGTGACGGCGATAGACGTGACGGAGATAGAGGTGATCGAGGTGGACGTGATCGTGATCGTTGCCTGACCTGAGATCTTGTGGGTTGGGAAGTCTCTAAGCACTAGGAACAAGAAGCTACTAGGAGTAAAGGGCATCGCTACTAGGAGCAAGGACACTACTAGGGGCTCCTGGCCTTACTACTAGGAGCATTCTTGCTACTAGGAGCAACTATTGTAAGTTTGGTTGACGGGGAACGTGCTGACAAGGCTGGATGTGTTTTTTGGTGGGGCACTGGGAGAATTTCTTGCAGTACCTGGCAGTATTAGGTTATTTCTTGGAAGTATTCCTCAGCTGTTCTGTGGTGTTCAAAAGCCCATATCTTGCAGTGCAGCCTGACAATTATCTCGGCTAGAGACCTCAAACATATGCTCTGAGAAGTTTAGAGTGTATACTCAACTTGGTATTGGCACTACTTGGGGGAAGAAAACCAAAAACGCCCGCAAGGAGACGTGATACACTTCCAGATGGCCATTTCTGCCATTCCTGAGGCGATCGTGACCGGGACCGGCGAGGAGACGATCGACGAGACGCTTGGCCGAACAACGGGAAAACGGAAGACAGGACCTAGGTATCACAGGGTTCAGGAGTGTCCTGGTTCTGTTTTACTTCTACCAGGAGCAGAACCACCCCAGTTGGATCATTGAACGGTTGTACCCACAAGTTGAACCCTGAAGAAGAGTCCAACATTTTGGCTTTTCACTCTGCATGAGCCGTGGGTTTGTGGCATTTGCTTACCTAATCAGTGAAACCGGCACTATGTGTCACTCTCTTTCAGACACCCATCCCAGGATCGCGAGCGCGGGGGGGATCGTGAAGGCAGGGATGTTGTGCGTCGCCTCACCTGAAGAGAGACCGCTCTCTCTACTGAATACATGTTTTGAGGTAGGTCTCCAAACTTTGTTGCATTTCTGGATTTGTAGGCCTTGGGATTTGGAAGGGTTTCTTTCCTGCTGGTACTTTGTTTGGAATGTCTCTACTCGTTTCCCTAAAGCAGGCATTTCTCAGAACAACGTAGCACTTGTGACTGCATTTGCTCTTTTCCGGTTTTGGTCATATTTTGCAAAACCTCTGTAAGACCATTGGTTTTCTTGAGCCATTGGCCCATCCCTCACCATCCCTCTTCCAATTCAATTTCTTTGACCGTGACTAGGTGGCAGGTAGCCGCAGGTCAATTGGCGTCGGCCTCATCGACAGATTCTGTTCAAGCACATGGAAGTGTTTTTTGTAGGTTCGAAGCTTTGTTGTAGAAGGGTTGAGCATGCAAAACATGGCACCCGAAAACCGGCGGCAGCATCGGCATTTGAGGCTCCAAAGAATCAAAGAATGAGAGATGTTTTGAGGCCAAATGGCCAAGAAGCCGCTGTGACAACGTCCTGAATTTACATAGAATGGCAGATCAGTTTTATGTATATTCTTAGATTCATATATATATATATAATAACACAATATATTACTATATATATATATATATAGATGATATACATTTTTATGGGGCCACATTTAGTTTATGATGCAAAGTGGGTAAAGGCCATTAAATTGACATCAGTACAGGACGTTTTGGGCATCACAGCCAGAAACATGCGCATGAAGAAAGCAAAGAGTGCAGCCTGAGCCGTCATAGGGCAGGAGAAATGCGGACGGCTCTAGACGTATTGGTAAATGTGGTGTGCACCCCGCAAAACGTGGTTGCTCCCACTTGGCAGGGATGGCGCTGTCATTCTCGAAAAGGGCCGCCGCCGCCGACGCCGACAAGCTTTCGTAAGTAAAGTCGTGAGGCTTTCAAAGCATGGTTAGAGAGTTACAGAGTGTAGTTTTCAATATGCTCGTGCCCATTTGAGTCTCTTTGCACTTTAAAACATTTTATTGTTTGGGGTTTCGCTCCAAGTCTATGCTTTTTGTGATTTTTTGTGCGCAGGACTGAAGTAGTATGGTAACGGTGCCTCATAGTACCTACCGCTCATGACTTCTTTTTAGTGGAATCTTTGGAACAGACATGCCCAAGGCAGAAGCAGGCCTGGTGGGGTGGATGGGAAAGGAAAAAGACAGAACACGGGCATTCTCCAGACATCATGTGCCCACCCATTTCACTCCAACTTGACAGAGGACCAGTGGATGCGATGCTTCGTAGAATGCAAATCTCCAGTCTCCAACTTGTAGATTCACGAGAAGTCTGCCAGGCACTCCCCACCAAATTCATGGATGGACTTTGACACCAGCCAACAACTTCTGAGTGTTTGATAGCATTCACCACAATCCTCAGCACTGGCAAGGCTTGTTGCCTGGTTTTGGTTTCGCTTTCTATATTTGAGGCCCGCAAATGGGAAGAGAGCAATGGCAGATGATGCAGGCAGAAGTGATGTGGAGAGGTGTTCGGGACTCGGCTCTTTGGAGAGCCTGTTTGAGATGCAGAGACTGTTTTCAGTCAGCCAGACATCTATGACGCAAGTCATGTGCATACCTCACGCCAACTGCCCTGACATGAAAATTGACCTTTTGAGCTCAATGTTGAGGGGAGTGTCGCGGAGTGTCCAGTCTAGGGTGATTTGGACCTGCTGGATTTGCTTTGACATCATGACATCAAGGGTGTATCCGCCTCCAGTCGCTCACACCAGGAAGAACAAAGGTCATTGTACAAAAGTCAATTGGACAAGGCCAAATTGTTACCAGCCATGTTTGATTGATTTCATAGCACTTTTGCCTTAGCACAAGAGCCTACTAGGGATGGTGCAACCTACCAAAAATCCGATCCGTAGGGTCTACCTGTTGCACGTGGCCGATCCCAACACACCAGCCCTGCGGGGTGTCGATCCGATCCCAACGAAGACCTTCTTTTGCACCGATCCGATGCACCAAGGGCCCACACGCTCCGTTCGTAGCGCTGCCCTTTGCTCCTAGTAGCTTCTTGTTCCTAGTAGTAAGGCCAGGAGCCCCTAGTAGCGTCCTTGCTCCTAGTAGCGATGCCAGGAGCCCCTGGTAGCGTTCTTGCTCCTAGTATCACTAGAAACCACCAACAGTTTGCCAGATACCAACATGTCCCGTAAGGTCTTTCAGTGAAAAATCAGGTCAGTCCCTTCCTTGATGTGCTGCCATAGGATGCCAGCAGCTCGCCAGTGACATCGCCTACGAGCGACCAGTACAGAGAGCAGGTGAGCGACCACCCCGAGGGCCATTTGGGGTCTACTGCAGCGATGGCCTCCAACCTAGTACTGTAGCCGATGGCAGAGGACTCGAACCTGTGTTGAGAGGACTCGCCTGCCCTGGAAAGCGTTCGACGCGTTCGACGCCTCCATGCTTCGCACACTGACGCAAGTGCGCGTTTCATGGCCAACACTGTTTTGGTGGGTGGGACAGTGGAACATGATAATGGCTGCCCTTGGAGGCGAACATGACTTTGTATAATGTCCAAACACAAAGGATTTGCATCGGAGAGGCTTCTGCAGGTTGTGACCTGCAGCATCCAGTATGGTCATCTACTGATACACCAACTGGGGAACAGGCAAAAGCTACACTCCCAAAAGGATCACAGGTGGCTGCCACCTCCAACCAAGAAAGGCCGTGTTTCTTTGGGTCCAAAGATGTCAAGTTCCCCCTCTCCTTCCTCCGAAAAGTGCCGTTGCACTGGCATGGGTAGACATCTGCATGTTGCTGAAGATCCATCGGGGTGCCCGAAACGACGGTCTCCCGTGACCAGGTGCGACAACAGTTGAACGAGAAGTTGCAGAAGGAATCGAGACAGGCAAGGCAGTGCGGGTCCATCGCCGGGTACAAACCCCTTGGTTCGCCGGTTTTTGGTGCGAACTATGACGTCACACTCACATGCCACAAGGTCCCAGCCCCAGTTTCTTGAGACTTTGGGGAACAGCAAGGCTGTTTCAGGTGGGTGTTGTAGCATTCTTCGATTGACATGGCCGCACAGTACAGGGCACCAATCTTGGGAAGTGGAGTGTCGCACTGACTCCCATTTAGTCTGATAGATTCATTGATGAGGAATGACACCCTCAGACATGGTTATATAAATATATACTTGTATCAGAGAAAAAGCATTGGGTCGAGTCGTTAGCATCGTTTTGAGACATCCGCACTGAGCACTTGTCAGTGTTGCCTTGTTCCAGCCCAGCATTTTGGAGTGAAGGAGGCCAATTGAATGGGCCCTCCAGAGCAGATGCGTTCTTTTCCCTTCGGTTTTAGGATTCATTTCACGGATTCATTCCCTGAGCAGTTTGCACCAGTAGCTGCTACTTAGCTTGTCATCCATCAGTGTCCGGTTGTTCTTTTGAAGTTCAAGGACGGCGACAGAAACCCGCGAGAGCAGCCCCTTGGCCTGCTTGTGGGTGATTCTTTTGAGACGATCAACTAGCCTGAAGTCGAGTGAAAGCCTTGGGGTGAGGTTGCTTTCCCCTCGCATGCACACATGAATAGTGGAAGCCAGCGCTCGGCATGGCACTTCCCAGACCTAGAATGACACTGAAGAAGCACGGTTCACTGCTTGGTCATGGCCCTTGAATACTCACATGTTGAACCAGGGGAAGTCGAGCACTTTTCGAACCAGCGATCCGTGAGCTGAGGGTGAAACAGCAGCTCCAACTTCAGGAGCCATGGCCTCGGGTCCACTGCAGGTGACATCTTGCGCACTCTAGACGACGTCCCAATGAATCTTTCAGGGTCTGGATCAGTCACAGACTTCTCGGAGCAAGTGCAAGCCTTTATTGGTGGATGCTTACACCCTTACAAAAGAGTTGGATGTGCGTCACAACTGACGCAGCATGTCAACCCAACTTCTCTGAGGCACATGCACCGTCACCTGGAAGAGAACATGCAGATGCCTGTGGCTCAAGAAGTGGGCCGGGTCAGACTGCCGGTGGAGGAGTAAACTTCAAAAGGCACGGAACATGATTGTGTGGAACTAGGAGTCGAGTCTAGTCTAGCCGTCACGAGCCAATCGCCTGGTCCATCTTTTGAGAGTCAACATGCCAACAAGATCCTATCACCGTGAGCACAAAGACGCCAGCCCATGTGAAGTCATAGACACCTTCATTCGTTTGCCCCCAATTGGATTGCCAATGCCCAAGGTCTTGGCAGGCGCGTCTCAAGACGTGATCTGAGATACGCTGAAGTATTCCGAAGCTGTCAGCCACTGTAAGCCAATGTTTCCATGGTGATCAAGCCATTCAGGAATCCATTCTTGCAAGCCCCTCTCCCAAAAGGTGTGGTGTTTTGCTCTACTCCTAAGTTACCCTTCAGAGCAGGACCCAACAACTTGTGAACACAGTCCGTCCGCCAGCAGGCACCACAGGAGCAGATGCAAGGCTCAATGCAGCCCCTGGCCACTGGGCAGCATTGCTGAATTTACAAGCAGGTGACACCAAACGTGAGGCGGGAATTCACAGGCCAACGGGAGCCTGGGGCAACCAGCAACCCATGTTTGCAGGTCATTTCAACAGCCAAGGTGTTTGTTTCTTTGTTTGTTTGCTTTGTGTGTCTTTTTGTTTTATGCCTTTGTTGAGTCTCCAATGCAGTCACGGGGCCAAATCTTTGGAAGACTATTATGGACTTCCTGGTCCAGAAGTTACACTGTGCATGCAGGAAATCAACAAACCAACGAAGCCAGGTGTTCCTTTGACTATCCATTCATGGGGTTCCGTTCAACGGCTTTGACTTTGCATCCTCCCATTTTTCGGTCCACAGAGTTGAATCATTTTTCGTTCATGGGGTTCCGCACTTCGGATAGGTTGGAGGCTGTGTCTGGGAAACCTTGGATCCGAAGAAACCTTGGAGCCAGACTCGCCAACTACCTGACATTCGGGGTGGTGAAGTGCGGAAGAGTTCGATGCAACGATTGTGGCCT